TATGTAAACTTTTATATTGTTTGTAAGTTCATTTTAATGCATTTGTTTATTTTGGGATGATTTTTGTTTTAAATTTTACCTTTTTTTTATTATTATTTTTATAAATACAAATTCATTTTAAATATCACAGTAAAATGAATTTACAAGAACTATTCCTTTAATGGTACCCATAGCTATTTTTACACTATTCACAAGTTTTACACAGAAATTAATACTTTTGACAAAAAATTTTTTAAATGATGTACACTCACATTAAATAAAAACTGCAGTCACATAAGTAGCCTAGAAAAAGGTTTATTCCGCATAAGGGTGGTCCACCCTAATGGTAGCTGCCATGTTTAAATCACATGACCAAATACCAGTCACATAATCTATAACCCCTCTATTTTCGGACACTTTCAGTCAATATATCTGCAAAATAATTTTCTTTATTAGTCAGACTTGCCTCGACATCAGTGTTCTTCAGGCTGGCAGCCGTGGCAGCCGCCTCTGCTTCAAGTTCGCGCTTCACTGAAATACAACGACAAAATGACTATATGTATTATATTCGCTAATACTTTCAGATTCATGAGTGAAAAATCAAATAATTTACCCTGATTCCTTATGGCATCCTGGGACGTTTTCAACACTGGCCGGTGCTGTTGCTCGATCCTGGCGAGGGCCGCGGCCCCTGCTTTCTCTGCGCCCTCGGTGGGCGTTTTTCTGGGCGCCCCGTGAGGAACCTTTGGCGCTTGAGGTTTAGAGCTGCTGGAGAAACCAGACATCACCCACTCACTTCTGTACTTGAAACCATTGTTGTAACCCAGGGGTGCCCAACCCTGGTCCTGGAGATCTACCTTCCTGCAGAGTTCAGTTCCAACCCTGATCAAACACACCTGTCTGTAATTATCAAGTGCTCCTTCAGATCCTAATTAGTTGGTTCAGTTGTGTTGTGGGCGTTTTTCTGGGCGCCCCGTGAGGAACCTTTGGCGCTTGAGGTTTAGAGCTGCTGGAGAAACCAGACATCACCCACTCACTTCTGTACTTGAAACCATTGTTGTAACCCAGGGGTGCCCAACCCTGGTCCTGGAGATCTACCTTCCTGCAGAGTTCAGTTCCAACCCTGATCAAACACACCTGTCTGTAATTATCAAGTGCTCCTTCAGACCCTAATTAGCTGGTTCAGGTGTGTTTGATCAGGGTTCGAGCTAAACTCTGCAGGAAGGTAGCTCTCCAGGACCAGGGTTGGGCACCCCTGTTGTAACCAGTAACATGACTGGAGCAGCAGCATTCAGGGTTAAATCACTCCCACGTGACTAACACCAGACCTGCACTAAGCCTGTCAGTAATTATAGCGATGAGGCTGAACTCACAGGTCGGATCCCATTGCATGTTGTTAAAACACTGATGCATTTAGCACATACTATACATGTTTCCATGCGTCAGCTCCAGATATGAATGCAGTCCGACAGGTATAGATGCACTTTGTTCGGATTTCTGTACATTGCAGTAGATTTCAGGTGTAAAATAATATCTAACTTGCACTTTGAACAGTTTCAAATGCTAAAAGTCTATCATACGAAAACACGCTATTCGATGTTTCGTGATCTGATCATGTAAACTCACTATGTTTAATTAAGTTTCCGTTTAATGTGAAAGTGTGGTTGTCATGGCAGATCTCATTAACATCTGATCTTTTTACCTGCGGTCATCTGTAAGTTTCTTTCCTGGTCCTGCTGACTTGAATTTTATATCCTTCTTGATGTCGTCGAAAAACTTCTTCATTCTTAGCGATAAACTATGTGCAAAAATTTTATTTAAAAAATTAAAAATAAGTTGTTAATTATTTATAACTGTCAGACACACCACCACCCAAGCGATGTGTTTACCTCGGGAAGAGGACAGACTCTCAACCGGAAATACGCTCGCAAACCGATCGGAACGCAAATATTGGGTTTTAGCGACACCAAGCGGAGGGGAAGGATAAAGAGATCTCTTTTAAGTTGCTAAACTGATTTTAGCCTGTAAGTAAATTTTATTTATATAGCACATTTCAACATAGCAAAGCTATCCAAAGTGCTTAACAATGTAAAATAAAATTAAAAGAGAAAAGGAAACACAGAAAATAATAAAAAAGAAGACAGACAATAACACAACAACGAAATGAAATTAAAATGCTAAGGAGAAATTATACGTTTTCAACCTCGATTTAAAAATGGTAATGGAAGGTGCAAGGCGGCAGTCTAGAGGCAATTGGTTCCACAGACGGGGGGCAGTGACTGAAAAGGCTCTGTCACCCTTAGTTTTCAAACGGGAACGAGGGACAGATAAAAGAGCCCTGTCAGTGGATCTTAAAAGTCTGGTAGATGACAAAGGGATAATAAGATCTTTAAGATAAGATGGAGCTTGATTGTTTAGAGCTTTAAAAGCAAACAGCAGAATCTTAAACTGAACTCTAAAATGGACTGGAAGCCAGTGAAGCGAAGCTAAAATTGTGTGTGACATGGTCATATTTCTTTGCCCCAGTCAGCAGCCTTGCAGCTGCATTTTGTACCAACTGGAGGCGTGAAAGCGATGACTGAGGAAGACCTGAGTACAGTGAATTACAGTAATCTAAACGTGAGGTAATAAAAGCATGAATAACCTTATCCAAATCTTGAAAAGACAAAAATGATTTAAGTTTGGAGATGACCCGTAATTGATAAAAACTGTTCCTAACAACAGAATTAATTTGTTTGGACAAACATAATTCTGAGTCTATGATAACGCCCAGGTTTCTAACCTGTGAGGAAATGGAGGGGAAATGATTGCCTAGCTCCTCAATAATATCCATTCTCATTTTTTGGGGACCAAAAACAATAATTTCTGTTTTGTTCTCATTGAGTTGGAGAAAGTTATTTGTTAACCATTTTTTAATATCTGAGATACATTCCAGCAATGACTGAATGGAATCACCAGCTTTTAGTGGGAGGTACAACTGCGTATCATCAGCATATAAATGAAACTAAACATTGTGCTTCCTGATAATATCCCCCAGAGGGTGCATATATAAGTTAAAAAGAAGCGGCCCCAAAATAGAGCCCTGAGGTACTCCACTAATAATTGGGGCAGATGATGAGGAAAACTTGCCTAGCTCCACAGAAAAAGACCTGTCTTTGAGATATGAGCTGAACCATCGTAAGGCTGTGCCCCTGATACCGATCAAATGTTCTAAACGGCAAATAAGAACATTATGATTCACAGTATCAAAGGCAGCTGTAAGATCCAATAGAATCAATACCGCATTTTTACCGGCATCAACTGCAACCAAAATATCATTGAACACTTTAAGTAAAGCAGACTCCGTACTGTGATAAGCAGTGAAACCAGATTGAAAAGGTTCTAATAAATTAGCTGTATTTAAAAATGTGATCAGCTGTAATTGCACAACTTTTTCCAAAAGCTCTGACAAAAATGATAACTTTGAGACAGGCCGAAAATTGTTAAAGCAACTTTCATCCAAACCTTGCTTCTTAAGCAAAGGCTGAACAACCGCATGCTTAAAGCAGTTCGGAACCACACCAGTGTCCAAAGATGAGTTAATCAACACTTGGACACCGGGGCCAATTACTGGAAAAGCTGCTTTTATGATCTCAGAAGGAACAACATCCAGTGAGGAGTTAGTAGACTTCATTTGGTTAATGAGATCAGAAAGTTCCATTAAAGAGACATGTTGAAAATGACAAAATGAAAATGGACTAGCAGGCGAGTTCAAAGACAGGTCTGAAAGCTGTGTAGTAAAAAATAAGCGAATGGCTCTCACTTTGTCAACAAAAAATTGACAAATCTTTATCTTAAAAAAAATCTTTATCTGCTCCTTCTGTGGAGTGGAAGATCAGTCTGTCCGTCATGTTTTTTGGGATTGTGTTCATGTAGCTTCTTTTGGAAGACATTTTATACTGTATGTTTCTATCTTAGACAATTTTCCTTTGGTGTTTAAGGATGTCTTGTTTGGTTTTCATAACTTATAACAAGAATCTAAAAGACAAGTATTTTCTAATAAATCTATAGCCTACATAAATCTATATGTTGTGCATGTTGTATGTATGAGGGAGGCCGGGATTTAGCAAAGCTTTTTTTTCTTCTTTTTCTTCTTTCTTACCCCTTACTTAATGCTTTGTTTTTGTTTTTTTCCTGTTTTTTTTGTAAATTGTTTATATTATATATCTTATTATTGTTGTTGTAATCGTATTGTTGTAATCTGATTTGACCTGTAAATGTGTGTATTTACCTTTTATATATGTTCAATAAAAAAAAATCAAGTGGAGAGGAGTGACAGATTGTTAAAACATTATTATGAGAATTTTGTGACGATTATTTGTATAAGGTGTAATTTTTTTATTTGTTGGTTTATTTAACATTTATTCATTTTATTTTATTCATTGATTTGTTTACTTTGCTTATGTTTACCATGTTTTTTTTCCCTCTTGCTCTTTAATGTTCTTCTGAAGGTGTTTGCATAGCATTTCTGTTTCATTAATAACAATAAAAAAACAAAGATCTGTTTTTTTTTTGTTATTGATGAAAGAAATGTTATCGAAATATGTTTTGTATTTTTAAATTATACATAGTTAAGACCAGTGTTGGAGTGCCTCAAAATGTAAGATGTCATTATACAGTCTGTGAAACAAACATTTTGCAAGAAATAAATACATCTGCTTAATATTTACGGTTTTATTTAAAAATTTTACATTTTAATTATTTCATATTTGGCAAACAACTGCGAGAGTGAGTATATGCCAAATATTTTTTCCCCAAAATATTGATTCCTCAAAACGACTAACATATACTAAAAACTGCTCAAATAACTACTAAATTCAGGAACCCGAAGCAGAAGCAGAATCGTTACATTCCTTACGATTCACATTCCTGTTTTCAGTAGATTATATATAATATTAATGTTTTTAGAGAAAAAATACTTTCATAAAGGTGCAGCAGTTACATTCCACTGAATGCATTTTGAATATGTGTTTTAATAAAGTATGAAATTATTTTTTATGTTTTCTCAATTTCATTTTTAACACCGTCGGAGCGAATGTTAATATATTACGATTGAACTGAAGTCTTTAGCGGCGTACACATTGTACATTCTTATTGGTGGACGTGAAGAGTGCCAGTCCGTTCCTCCAATCATCGTTCTCAAGAGGGGCGGGACTTCCGCTGAGAAAAAATGGAATTAGCGGAAACCGCTGCATAAACCAACCGCCTTTCCTCGCGTACTGTATCCGAACCAGGTCTCACTGTCTGTCGGCCTGAAAAACGGACCGCGGACGACCACAAACGAACAGAACGAGGAGCGGTGCATAGAGAGACGACAAGATGCCGCACAACTTCCTGCCCGGGGATCTTGTCTTTGCTAAAATGAAGGGATATCCCCACTGGCCGGCCCGGGTAAGAGCAGCGCACACCCCCACCAGCCCCGCTGTGACCAGCTTTACCTCAGCGCCTAGTGATTTACGCAACACCGAACACACACATGTATATTATGTAGACAAACTCGAAGTATATTTTACTTTAGAGTCTAGACAGCTTAATGAATGTATTTGTTCCATTTGATTACCCTAGTAATGAATGGATGAGGCTAGCTGGCTTGCTAACCTGTTTGCTGTAGGAGCAGCAAAGCTCGCGTGTCCGCAAAGTTTTGTTTATTTTTGTATTTTATACATCGGGAATCGTCTTTAGATACATAATGGGGTAAAGTATGAATCATTACTACATTTAGACTTGAGACTTTTATATTGCTTTGGCTCAATAACAAGTAAAATGCAATGGGGGGAGGCGTTTGAGTTGTCGTGTTTACACATGGAGGTGCTTTACTGCACGTGACTTGCTCAGTGCAAAGTAGAAAACTCATTTATTCATTTGTTTCATTCTATAAACCTTCACATTTCTGCTGCAGAAGCTCTGAAGAACATATAATCACCTTATTTTGATATTTCTCCTCCAGATTGAAGATGTTGCCGATGGGGCTGTCAAACCACCACCTAATAAAATCCCTATTTTTTTCTTCGGGACTCATGAAACGTACGTATCCCTGGATTCTAATGAGCACCAGGTTGTTCATTATGATAAATGGATGGATGCTTATTACTTGTAATGAGCTGTGTGCATTACCTCATTTTTTTCTCTTTAATTCTGTATGTTGATGTTGATTAGGGTGACCATACGTGCCAGTTTTCCCGGACGCGTCCTGGCCAGGATTTCTATATTGCCTAAAATATCTAGGTTTTGGCTTTGTTTGCGTGTGTACATCGGTGTATGACATCAAAATACCATACAGACGGTTCCTTATGCTTTCAAAATGCTCTCGAGGTACTTTGATGTCAAACACTGATCGATCTGAGCCGCGCTGCTTTTAAGTCGAACACACATCCTATGTACGTGTAATTGCATCGCTTTGACCGTAAATCCCACCTTCTCACACACACCATGATTGGTCCATTATGTACAATGCCTGCATGTTATTGGTCAAACTACTTTTCGATCATTACCTTCAGCAAGCATGAAAACAGGAAAACAAAGCCGAAACAAATCCTGGCAAGGACGCGTCCGGGGAAAATGGCACGTATGGTCACCCTAATGTTGATTAATAATCACAGTGTTTTTAAAAGCATGGTGGGGCCTTGCATGTCAGAACTGTTATGGAGGAACAGGTGGCACTAGAAGAACCTTTTTTTAGACCATATTTGGTTTCCCCTTTTCAATATTTTTCGATCTGAGAGTGTTGTAGACGCTTTCATATATTAAAGTCAGCATGCAATGAAAAACCACTCTATATTGTCTAAATGCATGTTTTGGATCTTATTGTAAACACTTCATCTGTACAGTTTCAATTGGTCAAAATGAATTTGAACCTTATAATGTTTAAGCAAAATGCCATAAAAATGAGTGTAATGCTCTCATCCTAAAATCCAATCAACTGCAATGCATAGAACAAAATTTACATCCTAAATTTTTTTGATAATTCGTTACACTCATATGTAC